TGATTACCTTCAAGCCTTTAAGACCCCAGACGCTATACTTTTTGACAGCCGGGTACCATCAGCGAGATTATATTTCTTAAGACCCTTGGTGGTGTAGTGGTTACGTGTTGGGCTTCCATCCACATGGTTGGCAGTTTGAAACCACCAGCAGCTCCAAGGTTAGAGGACTGGGCTTTCTGCTCGTGTCAACGGCTACCGTCTCCGAAACCCACAGGGGTCACTACGAGTTAGCACGGACTCAATGACAGTGAGTTTGGTTGGGTTACGGCTGTCCTGCCCAGTATGGCAGCCACAAGACTTAGAGCTCCATTTAAATTTAAATGAGCTCAAATGAACTAAAAGGAATAGTCTGATACCTCAGATGCACTGACCACATTTCAAAGGTTCAGCAGCCACATGTGCTTCATGCTTACCACATCAGACACCGCAGCTACTTACTTCCAACAGCACAGAAAGTTCTCTTGGGCAAGGCGGGATTCAAGATGCAGCTTCTATGCCCACCCTCCAGGCCACCAAATTTCTGTCCCAGAAGACTCATCGTCCCAGAAGACTCCCCCACCCCGTTTCCTCTTGTCTCCAGACTCCCAGTCCAGCCCTTGCCTCCCAGGTACCTGCCAAGGCCTTGATCCGAGAGCACTCAAAGAGTGAGGCAGCTGCAGTTGCAGCAGCAGCAGGCTGCTCCCGCTCCCAGGCCCGATCGGGGCTCTCCCAGCGGGCCGAGGGGTTGTTGTTGTTGGGGGCGGGCCAGCCTTCCATGCTGTCCACTTCCCCTGGTACCTGCGCCATCCAGGAAGGTGAGGCCTAGGGTGGAGAGAAGCCGGTTAGCTCGAGGCACTCCTCTTGACCTTGTCTTTCTGAGCGTTGGTTTTCCTGCCTTTAAAAAGGACCTGAGCGTTATGATGACACCGTGTCTACCAGCTGGGTTTACTAACCAAAAGGTTAGCAGTTCAAAACCACCATCAAGAAGCTCCTTGGGATTATTACAAGAGCTATAAGAGCCCTCAATAAAATGTTTAAAATAAAATAAAAAATAAAAAAGAAGCTCCTTGGGAGGAAGATACGGCTTGCTACTTATGTAAGGAGTTATAAGCTCGGAGGTGCACCGGGGAAGTTCTGCCTTGCCCTATAGCAGTGGTTCTCCACCTTCCTAATGCCGTGCCCCTTTCATACAGCTCCTCATGTGGTGGTGAGCCCCCAACCATAAAATGATTTTCGCTGCTACTTCATCACTGTCATTTTGCTACATGTGTGACTGGTCTGCATAAGTACGTTATGATGCAAACCCTGTCACATACACCTGTATTGGTAGTGGGTGTATGTGATGGGGTTGGCGCGATGATGTCCTCACACCGGGTACTCGTACGCGGGCATATCTGCACATGGACGGACCTGCCTGGAGACGGGGTCTCGGTTCCTAAGGCCATGTTTTCCGGTGGTCTTAGGTGACCCCTGTGAAAGGATCGTTCGACTCCCAAAGGGATCTCGACCCACACGGCGAGAACCACTGTCCTAGAGGGTCACTGTGGGTCCAAGTGGGCTCGATGGCAGCGAGCCCGGGTTGTAGGCAGAGTCACCGTGACCTGTTCCAGGTGTAGTAAAGCACCCGGCGAGGCTCCGCAGACTGTCACTGGTCTTATTATGACGCAGTGATATTGTCACTAGACCTCGCCAATGCAGCCATCGCGAGAATGAACATTGATGGGAATAACACCTGCGCTGCACTAAGGACTTCCTTTTATCTCGATCCCCACAAATCTAATTTCCAAAGTGTAGGTTACTGTAAAGTGCACTTTACAGGGAAGTTGGGGAGGGCGAAAGAGTGGTGGGGACATGTCCTATCTGTGGTCCCATGGCTTGATCTGCCACTAGAATCAGATAAGCGTGAGGGTGTGCTCGGCCTTAGGCTGAGACTCAGGAGGCTTCGTATGTTTCCGCTTGGACTCAACTGTGGCCAGGGGAGACCCTTGCCTGGGTTCCTCGGAGCCCAAGCCCCAGCCATTCCAGCCAAGGCCAGTGGGAGCAGCCCACAGTCACCACACCCCTCTCCAGATCTGAGCGAGCTTAGAAGAGACAGAACTGTCCAGCTGAGCGCAGCCTACACCTCAGGCTCAAGGGCAAAATCAACGCTTTGGGTCTTTAAGGTGAGATGTTGAGTTTGGGGGGGGTCTGTCTTGCAGCCTTTGTGTGGCAGCAGCTCCCTCCAGAGTCCTTTCAACCCCATTGCTGTGACAGCGATTCGAATGCAGGGCAACCCCAGGCGTGTAGACAAGAACTGCCCTGCATCAGGCTTTCGGGATGTGTCCAGACACCAACCTCTCAATTGTAGAGGAGTGCTTAACCATCTGAGTCACCAAGGGACTCCTCTAGAGCCCTCAAAGCCAAACCAAACGCCCTGCGGACTCCTAGTGACCCTATAGCACAGGGTAGAACCGCCCTTCCCTGGGCGCGGAAAGCCTCATCTGCCTCCTCCTAGGGCACTACTAGATTGTAAACTTAGGGTGTGGGTGACATCCAATACAGCTCCTCGGCTCCCCCACTCAGCCCACACCTCATTCTGAAACTAAGAAAGAAAAAAATTGGAGATCAATACGCCCCTTTCCCAACCCACTGGATGTTCCCAGGGCAGGGTGTGGGTCTTCCGAGAAGACAAAATCTAGTTTCACTCTCCCTTTAGGGTACATGTGACCTCGGTCCAGTCACTTCCGCACTGTGGCTTGCCTCCGTTTGTTTATCTGTAAAGTGGGAGTTATTGGGTACCCGTTTCCTAGGGGGTGCCTGACAATTATAAGGCAGGAAACGTGGTCCCTACTATCTAGCAAACCCTCGGATCTCCTCTCTCGGATTTTTGGGGATTTGATCCTGCTGTGATTCTCAACCTTTGGCCTGGGACATTGAACGTGGCTTCTCTGGGCCTCAGTGGGGATCAGGATTGCTTTATCAATGGAAGGCGCTGAGGAACGTGAAGGTGCTTAGCACATCGTGAGCGCTCCTCGGGCCAGGGAGCACCTCAGGCCCGAGGCAGTGGAAGGGAACTGAAGTGGTGCAGAGGGTGAGGAGACTGAGGAAAGGTGGCCGGCTTGGGGGTGGGTGGGGGGAGGACGGGGATGCGGGATCAGAAGCTTTAACCCTTGGCAGGCCGGCCAGCCGGCCAGCCAAGCCTCTGCCCCTCAGTCCAGTCACGGTTCCCAAGGAGGGGGGCCCTGCAAAGGACAAGGCCTGGCGGTAGGACCCACGCACGCCGCGGGGGCTGCACTGGCTTGGCGGGGGCATTCGTTTTGCCCTCGACACTCCGCCTCCCCCACAGCCTAGGGGACCCCCGGGGTTCAGCCAGCGCCCCGAGCATGCCAGGGAGGGA